ATAGGGAGTTCAAAGGTATTTACCTATATTTCCCTCAATAAAAACCTGAACCGGAACCTGAATCTAGAATAGTACATAGAAGAAAAAACACTTCGGGAAGTCGAAGAATGGGACTTACTGTTGTGCACATTGTCGATATGGTCCTTCAGTTTTGCCCTATCCCCGAGAGTTTTGCTACAAATTTCACAGCTGAACCGTCCCAGTTCTGAAAAAAAAGAAACAAAAGATGATAGTCCGTAAGTACTTATGGCGGTCAAATACATTTGCGGAATTTGGGGTTTATCAGAAATTTTTCTTAACAATCACTTAGAGCTTCTTATAGTTCTTTTACATACTTAATATGCTGCTCATCATTATTTATGAGTTTTCATAAATGCGTTCTCGCTGGTATGCGAGAAATAATAAAACATTTACAAACTCAGGCAATTCGTTTGCAGCACTCGCCAAACTGTAGTTACGGCATTCTAAATACTCCGCTGTACATTCTGTCGAGCACAACCTTCTGCATCAAAAACCAATGCAAACCTAGTACTATACGCGCTCCAAACATATGACTCGACACTGACACTGTATTTCGGGCTGTAAACACAATGAGAGCCATATAGGAATTATGCAGAAAAAGCGTAGTGTACAGGTAGTCAATACATTAATAGCTAGCACGAAGAAAAGTCAACCAGCGACTAGGAAAGGGGGCGTACTTTTGTGGACATGGTAAACATGTGCATTCACCTGCCTGATCTTTGCAAATGCCTTGCCACAAAACTCACAGGTATACTCGCACGGAGCTGTAAAACAAAAGAAAACATAAAATGACAAAAGTGTGCAGTGCTCTCATTGCTTGCTTACACGATCACAGAGATAGAGAAATACCAGTTGCATACTTTTTAGGCACCATATGAGTTGTCTCGGCGAGCATAAGGACATTTTTTACCAGATTCTGGAACAATCAGAAACGGCCAAGTGACGAAAAGGATAACATTCAAGGTGGATCCTAGACGACTTATTAGGAAATTGTGCCTTGTAGTCAGCAGTATCGCTTGAAACGGCAAGGCTACGATCGAAGTGCGAAGGGAACACAAGGGGGGAAGCAGACTTTATTTTGGAAGTTCATATTTGCAGGGCCAATTTGGCACAGTGATGGTATCAGGGTAGCTACTTGAGAGAGAGGCCAGACCCCGCAGTGTGCAATGTTATTCCCCGTAGTTATTCAGGACGGGTTGCCTAGCGAATCTACATGTGGCGCACAATACAAAGGCTTTCAGCAAAAACCAGCTGCAGAATAAACCAATCTTTCTGTTGGGATGAATAAGCGGTCGCGATATAGCAGCTACAGTGCTAACAGGGCACAGAAAACCGTGACGTGACACGCCGATTGCTTATGAGGATGTCCTGTTTCGCTACAACTGAGGTCGACTGCATCGGACATGCATGTAGCACGAAGTAAGTACGTTTCACTAAAAGATTATTTGATATGATCCATCACGCATAATTCCACAGGTTTATATGAAGCTGGATTTTAAGTACTCCTTATCCCCTCGATTATCTAATTCCAGAAGTTTGTATAAAGGTGGATTTATAAGTACTCTTCATTGTACTGACTTATCCTTTGGATAAATTTGCACGCCCCTGACCCGTTATTATTTCCGCAAGACTTCCAGGAAACGTGTCCCAGTAGAGTCCTGCCGGAGGGTTACCAGTAAAAGATGACCCATATGCCAGGGGCTCATTTCAACTGCACCACAGGACAAATCCAGACGGATCAACGGAAAGGCAAAGGAAGTAAGCACCATTCACGCGAACTCTGATTGCCTGCTAAATCTTTTGCAGGTCCCTCGCCAGTAGGTTCTTCTACCCCGGAGTACAGCATCCCTGGAGGATAGGGAGTGATAAAACAAGGACGCACCAGAAGTGTTTGACTCCAGAGGACTTGTTGGAGCAGAGACTTTAGGGGGAATAGATAAGCAAGTTGCCGCGTTCAAATCTCCCGTTGGAACACTTGAGGAGAATGTTGGTGTCAGCCTTCCATGGTTCACCTCAGCTGATGAAGGTGACGACGCTGGTGAGGGATGCCACGCATCTCCGATGCTTGCGCAGTCACTACCGTTGGATCCACGTAGGTCTTGCTGGCCAGTAAGTTGCTGACGTCGACGCTGCGGCTAAAACCAACCAAATGTACGGTTAAGTTAAGCTTACAAGTCAATTTAGTGCTACTGATTCCGACGCCTACATGCAGTACAAACCAACCACAGACTTTTAGAATTACCTTGCGACGCTTAGACCCGATCCCTCTGTTTTTAATTGTTTCTTCCTGTAAAAAATGAAACCTTACTGAAGATAGTAATAAGAAGAGGCCTCAAATAGAAGAAAGAGGCACAGTCAACAAGATATTGTCAAAATAACAAAACAGTGAGATTAAACTTAATACTGAGTCGCCCATAAGCTTAAAAACAACAATGTCTGCCAATCTGGAACTGTTAGGGCAATGTGCTAAAGCACAAAGAGCATTCCAGGATGATTTTGGCACAAAACGCAGTATGAAAAAAATCTGTCGCATTTTGCTTGAATGGCACATAAGCAAAGGTGTCCATACATGTTATCGTGAAGGTAACGTAAAACAGGCCTTATTAAATTAAGTTCTGTAGAAATATAGTTTTTATAATTTCCGCCTATGCGTACTTTAGAAACGGAACAGACGTCAGAATAATTATCATTGCAAAAATGGCAATATATGTATATAACCACCCCTTTTTTATTCACAAGCTTATAACAGATCCTAAAAGGAATCCAATATGGCGGAAAATAATCCATTAAAAAGACGAAAATAAGCTCTTTCATCTCCAGTCAAATTGAATCGTTTATCTTCAGGTAACTTAACAAAATTGTCAGAAGTCGCCATTTTCACTTTGATATTACCTTGGAAAAAGGTAATATGCACAGAATTTCGTCAGCTGAATATCTAAGAAAAGAACTTTTTAAAGACTTAACATATGATATAAATTTTTATTATTAATCTTGGGAATAGTTAAATCAGAATTTTGTTGCGGACGTTATTTTCGCTCGACAACGTGTTTTACCATTTTGAGGAATTTCTAAAGATGGCTCGCATGGTCATCTACGTAAGAACTAATATCCAGAAACGCATTTCTTCGGTAAATTCTCTTCATCGATATCTTGTTTTACAGGTCGAAAAATTTTTATTCATGCACAAAAGCTTGGAGGCACTGAAAAAGTTGGAAAAATATATAAGCATTTAAAGGTCGATTTGTAAGTAATTGCAATTGAACGGTAAAAATATGTTAAAATGTTTTGAGTTAAGAAAGGTCCCTTTGATATGAAGAAAGTGGTATCATCAACCTTTAACAATGACGATAAGATTTAAATTTATTGTTCTAATATATATCTATTTTGGCGTGTACGGAGCTTGTTGCTTATGGGGAAAATTCGGTTTTTCTTATTATACAATTAGTACTTTTTATATTTATTTTGAGTAACTTATTTGGCTAAGGTTGTTCATTATTAATTCCAAGTATTCGTACACCCGTTAAGCGCGGTTTGCGTGTGCATATCAATAATTTGCAAACTTCGGTATGTTGCACAAATTCTGAGCTGTACTGTATATATGCGCGGTCAAAGCATGATAGGTACGAACGACGCTAATCTTTTTCGAACAATCGAGAGAGGCCTTGCTTAGAACCAACGAAGATGGAGCTATGTCATTTGTGAAACTTAGGTTTAAAATAGGGTCGCATCTCGTTCGGGAGCGGGCTAACTGAAGCCATTTGAAAAATAATGGCATCTAGAAAAAGTTGTAATCTGGGTGGAAAATAATTTGAACGCCAATCAATTTCGGGAAAGTTGAAGTATC